TTTCAACGTTGACTTATGATTTTATAGACGGAATGAAATAGACCAACGCTGTATTTATATATAAAGGTTTGGGACTTCAACAACAAAAATTAAAGGTTTGGGTGTAATTTGCAACAAAATGAAATGTTGGGGACCATCGCTGCAATTTTTTCGAGTCAAGATTACCGTTGAAACGTTGATTGACGATTTTATGGACGGAATTAAAGGCTTGAGACCGATGCTGGAACTACATATAAAGGTTTGGGATTTCGGCCGCAAAAATAAAAGGTTTGGGTGTAATTTACAACAAAATGAAAGGTTTGGGACCACGGCCGCAATTTTCCCTAAAATAAAATAAAAAGTAAATACATAGACATATTTTGCACTCATAAAGGGATTTAAATCATCGACAAATTAAATGTTATAAAAATTTTGGCAATGAAAATTTGATGATTTGTCGCTATTATTAAGGGTTGCTCATGCATCGGTTAAATATCTGCCATATAAACTAACATATAAGTGTTTGCTAACAATGTTGACATTTTAATACGGAATCTTAAGTTTTAGTACAATATTAGAACTTGTTAAGCTCTAATGAACAATCTAATTCGATTAAGACTCAAAAAAACATTCATTGACATGTTCAAAAGAGCAACCATTTTACAGGATATGTTAAGAGATAAATCACAGATTTGTTAAATATCGATATGTAGATCAATATATAAGGGTTTTGGCTATTTCTCTTAATAAAGTTGACATGCATGCTAAGATGAAATCTCAAAACTTAATATTAAGTTCAAATGAACAATTTAATCTCTCTAAAACTCAAATGAGTATATTAATTTTAAGATTGGTTTACTCAACGGAATCATCATCATAAGGGGTTATACTCAGAGATAAATTTCATATTGATTAAATATCGAATTATAAACCAATATATAAGGGTCTTGACTACTCATGTTGAATTATATATATAGAATAGCAAGTCTTTGTAGCTACAAGGACACAATAGCTTATGTAATTGTGCAACTAAGGTAATCAAAGCCCTTTATAGAAGTATATTTCCTGGACCATAATATTCACACATATGACGATAGAAAAAGATGTCATATGCACATGTAATGTACACGGGATGGACAAGGAAACATTTATAATGAGTACATAAAAAGGGGTGTATACATAACATGTTGTAAGGATTGTTATCCATTAGAAGATAATTCACCAACTCTTTGGCAAATACAAGTTATTTTAGATTTAATTTCCGACTTGTTCAATCGAGATATCGTTACACCAATTTAAGAATGTCATTATACCGACCATTTAAGATGTTGTTTACATATAAAATATTATGAATAAAAATGAGATGTTTATAGGCATTTCTAGATCTTATATGAAGTTCTGAACCATCACATCTAATCCACTGTATTGTTACATCATTTGAGGGGTACATAAAAATGTAAGCAATCAGTTATAAAATTGGACCGCACAATGATATAAAACCATATGATAACTCCTAGTCGTAGGGCAAGTAACTCTTGCTTCTATGGGGTTTTCACGTACAATATTATAACTGTGTTGGATGGATATTATTGAGAAAAAAATGTATTTTAAATAGTGATATGATGAGAAATACGTGGTTAAAAAGTAAGGAAAAGTTATTGAAGTGATGAAAAATATTATTTTATTGAAGAATGTGTGGTTGAAAATGAGTTTTGAAAGAATGTGCACCAAACAGGGAGATACAAAAGAATCCGAAAGGGCGAATAGCTTGACCTCCAACATACAAACGCAAAATAAAAATATACTAATGGAACAATTAATCCATCGATTGACATACAAATTACACAACAGAAAAAGATTAGTCCTTTATTTGATCAGTTTAATTCATCAAACCTTTTGGCAAATTAAGAAGAGGTGAAAAGTTACAAAGCTTTCATGGCCTACAGTCCCTATGAAATGCAAAATGGAATTAGGGCAAGAGACAAGCTTAGGGCATGCAGGATGTGTGTTTTTGCGGTGGATTGTTGTGATGATTAATGCACACATGTGAGTAGGTGGGTTCGTTCTGCTTTGTCCTTGTGGAAAGGTGACAATATGAATTATTATCTATTAAAATAGAAATGAACAAAAATTTTAACCTGTATAGATTCGTTGTAAATTTTTTCAATAGTATGACAGATAAAAACTAGTTTACCTAATGTAGTTGTGTGTGTGTGTGTGTATATATATATATATATTCTCCGATTTTGAGTAAATATAACAGTAACGAAAGCATTTTACATGGAACAACTGAGTTAAGAGATTAAGGCGTCACATTTATCATGTCATATCACGTCTTTTATTGAAGACTAAAGCTGAATAATTCACTCTCTAATAATTTTGAATTTTAGATAAGAAAGTTTACATTATATCACAAAATGCAAGAAACTTGGATTCAAGTCGCATGTCAACATTTGGTCCTATCTTCATATGAGGAAGCGTGTTGAAAAACTAACTTCGATAAATAAATGTACTATTGATTCTCTAATAGTTTAAGATCATTTAAGTTGCAATAAAAGATTAATTTAATTGAACTTAAAGTCTTTACAAATAATCATAATTTGTTGTTATTGTTGTATGGATCAGATTTGTTGTGAAAATTGGAATACTCTGATATTAGTTTGTTGTGAAAAAATAAGGATTATAACCACAATATGTAGTAAAGGTTACAAGAATAATATAATTGGTAGAGAATTGTGATTTTATTATAATATGGAGAAAAAATGCAAATATTATGTATTTACAAAGTTTCTAACTCCATCTAAAATACAATGAAGAGGCAACTATATATAGGGAACAAATAGTGGACGTTCAAAATAAAAAGGAGACCAAAGCATTGCAGAGAGGTAGAACAGGTGGTGCCGCGGCGCCACTCTCCAGGCACTACTGTGACCTTGCTATTGAAATTTCAGCTGTCGGCACCTCGTCTCCGACCCAAATTCATTCCAATGATTTTTCTTCATTTCAAAGTATTTTTCAACTCCAACACATTCTTACTCTCAATGACTTCCAAATAGAATTTCAATTTAGAATTCGCCAAGAAAATTTGAATAGAATTTCACAGTTGCATTCCAAATATGAGTCTAATTAATGTGCACTTTAATTAGAACTTTCAATTATTTTCAACAAAGAAGTCGGGTCATATCCAAATTCTAACAGGATTCACCGATTTAAGGATTATAATTGAGGGAAGAGTTTGAAAGAACGTTTGATTGACTATATATCAATAATTATTTCCGGACTCACAGAAATAAATAATATTCTTATATTTTAGTATAGGGATGTTTTTTGAAGTGAATTTTTTTTTATAGCGTGTGGACCCTGAATTTGCTTGATTTATTAAACCATACTCATGGACTTGATCTTAGTTTTGCATTGATGCTTTCTTGTCTTGTAATTTTTAGGTGTATTGCTTGAGCAGTATCTCCTAAATTTTGTATTATTCCAACGTTGATATTAATTTATTAAAATTGCAATACAGTTGTCAATGATAATTACATTATTGTCTGATATAAATAGTTAGGGAATATTTTCTTTCCTTTCTCAGATTATATGCAATGAATTTGTTCCTTATTTGAACTCAGACTATTAATTTTTTTGTATTACAGTATTTAGACATTGCATATTATATAGTATCGCGTCAACGTTCTCCTATTTTAGTTGATGTAAGTAATTAAAAAATAAAATAAAATTTTGTTCGTCATACTGTCTACTTTTGTCCGATACTTCAATTTCTTTGTACAATGATTAATAAATGGCCCAGCTTTAATCATTTTTTAAAAAAGCTTTAGAGTTGTTTAAAGTGTTTGCGTTCCACACGTTTAGTTAACTAATGCCTCGAGTATTTACCATTTCATTGTTAATGTGATAAGAGTTTGTACTCACGTGCATAGAATTTTACAAATTTTGACTGCATGTCACCGTGAATAAAATATATTATATTATATTTTATATATACAAAGAGTTTCAATGTCAAATCAAGTTTTGTCTTAAATGTGATATCAATTTCTCGGGACGATAACTTATCATGATGCCCTCGAGTCGATCAACCTTGTTTAGAAGAACTCGAACTTTTGATTATTATTTTCGTATTGAAGTAATGCATTATCGGGAGGAAAACTAATAACAAGTGGTTCAACAATTTTACTTTGTTGATTAGAAAGAAGAAATCAGCAATAACATCTTAATATTATTAAAAGAGCTTTGTGAAAAATTTTAGGAATTCAAAAACATTCTTGTTATGTTAGATACCCTTCACCAAATGCCAAATTGCCATATGGTTCAAAGCATTTAAACTAGTACAATAATATATAAGTCATGTTTGATTTTGTTAAAGATCAGATTTTTAATAGATTTTTGATAAAAGTTGACGAGATTTATGATTGAAAAGCTGATAAAAGTTGTAAGTCTCGTGAAATTTATAATTGAAAATGAATTCGAGAAAAAATAAATTTTAAAAAGTGAGGTCAAACAAGGGCATAATCTCCTGTGAAGCTTGTGGTATAGTACACTAGTAATCATGCATGAAACAAACAAAGAAATCGTACATTGTTTGGGGACTCATCTTCCTTTATAAAAAGCCTCCAAGTACTGCTCTATTTGTTTCTCTGAGAGTTTGTGTGTGTGTGTGTGTGTGAGAGAGAGAGAGAGAGAGAGAGAGAGAGAGAGGCAGGCAGGCATGAATTCCAGGAAGCAAAAGAGAGCAGCTCTATATCAACAACTTCGTTCTGCTACTAATTCCACTTCTGTAAGCACTTATTATAGGAAAAACATTAGACTGACTTTGAGAGACTTTCTTATGTTTGATTTATTTTCAATCCTTGAAGATAGGATATTTTCGATTTTGCTAGTTTCAATCCATTTCTCACTGAAGAGTATTGTCGTTCTACTTCTCTCTTCTCTTTCAATTATAATTTTTAATTTTTAGATATAATCATAAATATAGATGCTACAGAACCCTATTTTCCTTCCCTTTAATTTCTTTACTGTAAATTTATATTTTACAGGTGACTACAACATCAATAGTTGTGGATGCTACAAGATACATAGAGGAGTTGAAGGAAAAAGTACAAAAACTAAATCAGGATATTGCAACTATACAATCTTCACACGAACAAAGCTCGTCATTACCAATGGTATAACTAATTAAAAACTCATCCGGCATGTTTTGTACGTTCTCTAAACATTATTAAGGAAGAAAACGAAACTATGTTTTTGTTTATTGTAGCATCCAATCATTTCTACATACAAAACTTTTCGAGGCAATCGAGCTTTAACTTTAGGCTGCTTTATATGATTGTTTTCTGTTTAATTAGTCATTAACTTGTCTTAAATTTTTGTCTTAATAAACTCCAGCAGGTTACAGTGGAAACCCTAGAAAGGGGTTTCCTAATTAATGTATATTCAGAAAAGAATTGCCCTGGTTTGCTTGTCTCCATACTGGAAGCATTTGAGAGGCTAGGCCTTGAAGTACTCGATGCTAGGGTTTCTTGTTCTAATAATTTTCGTCTCGAAGCCGTTAGTGAGGTAATGAATTATTTACTTCTTTATCAGTTTATATCTACTTATATCTGATGCTGCTTATCAATCTCAAATATTAGTTATGCATTTGAATTATTGCAAATGCCACCATCAAGAATCAAACTCATAGTTTAGTTGGAAATCAACCTCGAATTCGCGCCATACGATAGTCTATTTTAATAATTCTGATGAACTAATACTGCAGAAGAGTTTCTTCAGAATATAATGTTTTATGCAAATGAAAATATAAGAAGAATTTTGGTTGCAGAATGAAGGACAAGCTGACAGCATAGATGCCCAGGTGGTTAAACAAGCAGTAGTGCAAGCTATCAGGAATTGGAGTGAAAGTAGTTAGCAAAATTGATTTGTTGGCTCTTTGTTCTGATCATTTCATATTTTCCTTCTTCCAACTTTATGCATCTTGTTTAGTTTGAAAACTTTTATCTAATAAAGTATAAATGATTATACTTTACTGAGTTGTTTTATAGAATTATATGTTATGTTAGTTTATAGGAAGGACGAATTAGATAGTCGTCACATGCTCAACTTATTCGATCGCGTATCTATTTGAAGTATATGTAATTCAGATTCTCAAAAACTGGTTTTCTAGTTCATATTTTGCGCTTGTTTGGAAGGTATTTTTTCAAATGAAAAATGATTTTTTTTTAAAGACTCTGATTGAAAATAATTTTAAAAACGTCTCTGGCAACAAATCCTTAGTTCAATGATCTCTTAAAAGTAGCCCACCCAAATCTTGTAAATTTCAACACGCTCCTTAGTCCTATTCAGGACCTAAACTAAATATTAATAGTTTCCAGTCCAACTGGGATCAGTCCATTAATATTGGGCCAGTCCACAAAGTGCCCAATATTGCATCTCATGTTGCAAATGTTTCAATTAAAAAAAGAGGAAATTACAACTACACCTGCTTTTAGATTTCTATGTTCAAAAATCCTATCACACATTTAAATTTTCAAAAATCAGGTTTTTTATATTTTATTAAATATTAATTATATATTTATCATCACAATTAAAAAAACCTAATCAAACCTACCCATTTCTTCTCTCCTCTCCATCACGTTCTCTCCTCCCTACCCATCGCCGCCGCCGCCGCCGACGCCGACGCTTCCCTCTCCACCCCCTCTCCTCTCCCATCTCTTTCTCTTCCTCGCCTCCCCTCCCCTCCCCCATCTGCTGCGAATTGCATCAGCGTCGCAGCTACTGCGATTCGCGCTGCTGCTGCGAATCGCAACAGCGTCGCTGCGACGTGCTGCGATTCGCAGCAGCAGCAGATGCTGCGAATCGCGCTGCTGCGACGCGATTCGCAGCAGTAGCAGCGCGATGTATAACATTCCAACCACCAGCAAATCGCACGACCACCAGATGTCTGGGCCTTGACTAGGATTTGGGGTTTTTTGGTTGTGGTGTGGTGCAGGCGGCGGTAGGGGTGATCGCCTACACGTGGAGATTCGTGATCCTGGGGAAGAAAAGTCGATCTCAGATCTCGCAGCAGCGAACTGCAACAGCGTCGGGGTTTGGGTTGCCGGAGTTTGGGTCTATTTTTTGTGGATGATTTTGCGGTGTGCGGTTGATTGCGGTTTGGGGGCTGTGATCTGTGTGCGCTTGGTGCTGTTGGGTGTGGTTATGTGCGGTTGATTGCGGTTTGGGGGCTGTGATCTGTGTGCGTTTGGTGCTGTTGGGTGTGGTTAGGTGCGGTTGATTGCCGTGGGAGGTGGTGGTGTGAGTTGTGCGCGGTGGTGGTATGGTGCGGTGGAGGTGGATGTGCAGTGGTTTTTTTTACGGTGATGCTGTGTCGTGGCGGTGGCGGTGAAGGTGTGGTGGTGAAAATGTCGGCATTGGAATGGGGATTTTGTTGTTGGGAAGTGGTGGTGTTGGTGTTGACGAAGGTGGTGATGTGTTGGTGGTGGTCACAAATTGTGACCAATAAATTTGGTGGTGTGTGACCAATAATAATAAATTGTGACTAAGAAATACTCTGTGACCAAAAATTATTAATTGTGACCTAAAAATTATTAATTTGTGACCTAAAAAATATTAATTGTGACCAATAAATTGATAAATTGTGACCTAATTAAGTATTGTGACCTAAAAATTTTATGATTTGTGACCGATAAAACAATTGTGACTTTTAAATTTTTAATTGTGACCGATGAATGAATTGTGACATATCAAATTTTTGAATTGTGACCTTAAAATTTTTGAATTGTGACCAAATTGTATAGATCTGTGACCGTTATATATTTATTAATAAAATATATAATTAATTAAGTAATTCATAAATAAATTTAAATAGAAACCTGATTTTTGAAATTTAAAACATCAAACCTTAATTTTGAAATGTGTATAAGTAAAAGCAGGATTTATGTATACTTCCCTTAAAAAAAGTGTAATTTTGATACTTACCTAACTTTTTTTTTAGAAAAAATTAAAAAAAATACCCTCTTTATATCTACCACTTAAAAGCCTTCAAAAAGGGGACTAAGATGACCTTGATTCATAAAAATTAACTTTTCAAATTCCAATCAAATTCTAATATAAGGTCTCGGTCATTTCTTGCCCAGGTTGCAATCGGGCCGGACTCTTAAAAATCCAACTCTTTCAACTAAACTCCCATTTGATGGTCATTATTTTGAGAAAATTGAGTTTTGAATAGCGATTTTTTAAAAAAATGTGTGGTTAAAAAGCAGAAAAAAGTTTTGTTTAAGTACAGAATATTTTATGGACAAAATTATTTGTACATAATTTTCCTTATCGAAAATGTTACACCCTCTCACATGTGCGCGGGGTTCACATGAATAAAGAACTCCCAAAATTGTGGTCCCTATAGAGGTGGCAACGAGTCGAGCCGAGCCGAGCCCGAGCCGGGAAAAAAAAGCTCGGGCCGAGCCCGAGCTTTTTTGAACCGAGCTTTTTTTGGCCCGAGCCGATTCGAGCCCGGCCAAAAAAATGAGACTCGGCCCGCGCTTTTGGCCTGAGCCTTAACGGGCTGAGCTGGCTCGAATTTTTTGGTTGTTTTTTTTTTTTT